GATAAACGTATATTTGAAGATCAATTTATAAGATTCCTTTTTCTCTTCTCCACTTTTCGTCTCCTTCATTGTTTCGAAGAAGCTATGTGTTTGCGTTGATCTTGTCATCTTCTTTTATTCCATCATTCTTGCTGGTTTCCCCATCTTAGTAAGACTGAGCAAAGTATCTGTAAAATGGCTTGTTTGGACCCTGCCACTGCCGGTATTGAAGGTCAGCAAAGAGCAGTGTGACCACAGCTGAAGCTCTGGTAATAAACGAAGGAAAAATATGTTAATGAAATGAACAATCCAAGTCTTTGGGTTTGTGAGTTTGCTTGCATGCATAGCTTCCTTTTAGTAATTTGGAAAAAAATTACTTATGAATGCGAATAAGTAGATTATAAAGTGGAATCCTAACAACAAGCCTCCGTAGCATAGTGGTAGTGCGTTCGCTTCGTAAGCGAAAGGTCGCGAGTTCGATCCTCGCCGGGGGCTCTCCATTTTACAATTTTAGTTTTACTATCTAACGGACCGGACTTTGACCCAAATTTTGGTTTTACCCACAACACGACCCAACCCAAAATGCTTTTAGGCCCCATGAAATTTAACCGCGAAAAACCAACTGTGAAATTTAACACTACCTCTTTTTTATTTTTTTCTTATTCGATTCTAGTTTTCTATTAATTTGGTATGGATAGGACTGAATTGGTTTTGAATCTGAACCATCTAAAGTAAAGAGACCTAAATTGAAAAGTGAAAATTAAACCAATATGAGTAAGACCACGGATGGATGATCAAATGTGGTCCTTGTCTACCCTAGCGTAGTAGCATGTATAGTTGTTAGAGGACCACACCCAAAATTCCATAAATCTTAGTAGGAGTACCTATCAGCATGCCTCTACGCACATTCCATTAATCTCCACCTTACACACACATATATATAGGTTTATTGACCGAAATAGCCCCCTAACTAGTGCTCGAGTTTCATTTTGGTACACGAACTAAATTTTTCATTTTAATAGTCCTCAAACTCTTCATTTAGTATCAAAACGGTCCTACTGTCAAAGTCTGTCAATTATTCTAAGAAATCGAAGGGCAAAAACAGTCTTTTTTGGGCAGTAGCCTCCTCAAAAAATGACCAACCCACCCGATTCCTTTTCTTTGGGCGGCTTAATATCACAAAACATCCCTAAGGTTTACGAAACTATCAGATTGAACCCTTAAAGTTTTTTGTGTCATTCGTGGTCTTCAAGGTTAGTATGTGTGATCACAAATGGTCCCTGCCATTAGGTTACATCAAAAACTTTGTTAGTTTGCTGACGTGACATATATGTATTACAAAACATCCTTGAGGTTCACGCACCTATCACAAATGGTCCATACAAAAATTTTTTCATTTTTTCATTTAAAAATATATATATTGTATTTTAAATACACGTGACACTTTATTATTAGAGATGTGGGCTCCACATATATGCCACATCAACAAACTAATGGAGTTTTTTAAAAATAATTTAAATTTCATAAAACTTTAAAATAAAAAAATAAAAAAACCAAGGGTTTAGGGTTCATAAATGATCCTCAAGGTTAAAATCCTTCTATAAATGGTTTTTTCATTTTTAAATTGTATGAATTTTAAATTATTTTAAAAAAACTTCATTAGTTTGTTGATGTGGCATATATGTGGAGCTCACATCTTCAAAAACATAGTGTCACGTGTATTTAAAATACAATATATATTTTAAAATAATTTTAAAAAGAAAACTAAAATTTTATGAATTTTAAATGAAAAAATTTCACCAGGACCATTTGTGATAGGTGCGTGAACCTCAAGAATGTTTTGTGATATATATATATATATATGCCACGTCAGCAAACTAACGAATTTTTTTTACGGAATCTAATGGCAAAAACCATTTGTGATAACAAATACTAACATTGATGACCACAAATGACACAAAAAAAGATTAAGGATGCAATCTGATAGTTTCGTAAACCTTAGGGACGTTTTGTGATATTAAGCCTTTTTGGGCAATCCCTCTTTCTAAATGGGCTCAACTACTTTGAAAAGCATTTGGCATGGTTCAAATTTGGAGGAATCCAACATTTATAGAACAGAGGGAGAGAGAACAAAGATAGAGTAGATAGGGAGATAGGGCAAAGGGGAGAGAGGGGAGAGGGAGACGAAGGGGAAGGAGAGGAGAGATGGCTATGCAGGTGTTAGAAGATGGTATTGCCCCTCGATTTTATAGAACAATTGACAGAATTTGATGGTAGCACCGTTTTGTTATTAAATGGAGAGTTGGAGGACTATTGAAATGAAAATTTTAGTTCGTGGACCAAAATGAAACTCAAGCATTAGTTGGGCGTGGACCAAAATGAAACTCGAGCAATAATTTGGGGACCATTTTGATTAAAAAAAAACTTTATATATATTTCCAACAAATTTAAAACAAGAAATAAGAAAAAGAAGGGTTAGAAAAATATTTGAGTTTTTTTGTTCTCTTTATATCCATTTTTATGTAGTATACTCTGTAGCGAAGAAGAGAGGCTAGAGGAGAGGACCACACAACACAAGTAGGTATAGCACGTACTGTCAAAGCAATTTAGCAAAGCCTTTTGTGTGATGCCACGAGGGCACATATAAAATGAATTAGGGTAGGGAACTGGGGTTGGGGGTGTCCTTTAATGTTTCTTGGATCTTGTGACATAATGCTGCTGCTGCTGCATGAAAGCTGCTGAGTGACAGACAGACTGCTTCTTCTGCCTGTGGACTCTTGTTCTTTCCTTTTCCTTCTCAGAAGAACTGCAGATTCCAAACCCTTTAATCAATCATTTTTCTTTTCTTTTCTTTTTCTCCTTTTCTCTTATTGTCTTGTATGGTGCCTTCTTCCATGCTTATTATAAATCTTGCTTTACAATATTGGTGCAGACAGAGATATCAAGGACGCAGTTAAACTTGTGGGCTACCCAGCCCTAATTGTTTGTGTGCCAAAATTATTAAAGAGGTACAGATAGTTTGGCATGCTTCTCAGAATGCATGTGAGAGAGAGAGAGAGAGAGAGAGAGAGAGAGAGAGAGTACGAGAATTCTATAACAGGATAACCTAGGGAGCCAACTCATGAGCCAAAAAGTTTAGCTACCTCACCAGTCCCCAAAACCACTTTAAACAGGCAACATTTAGTTAGTATAATTAGTTAAAAGCTTCTTTTTGGTTGAAGTTTCTTGGGGTGTTCATTAATGTTTTGATGGGGTTGTTCTTGAGAGGCAAGAATTTAGCCTTTCTGAGGTGTTATATGTCAATGGATGGGTAACTAACCCTCTTATACATATAGGTATACAAAATGTAAATAATAAAATAGCTAAACAATTTCTGATTTAAATAACCGATGATTTACAGCGGAGAAAGATGTGCTTGCTTATACATATATGTTGCATAACTAAGAGCTATATATATATATATACACACGAAACAAACATGCATTAATGTGTAATTGTATGTATATTATTGCACACAAGTCACAATTAGTAATCAAAATCGTTTCAACGTTGATCATGATAGCTTATAATTTTAGATCCAAAATTGTTTTGGCCCCAGAATATTATTGCATTGCAATATGTATATATATAAACACCAGAGAGTGTCAGCGCGGTCATTTAATTACTTGGGGTAGGGTGACCAATGTGGCCATGCCCAACATCCCATCTCTGCAGGTATGCATATATATAACCCAAAACCAGCCGGTGAAACA